AGAACATCAGATTTTTATTTGGGTTTAGTTCTGGATTTTCATTGGACCATTTTAATTGTCAAATAGATTTTGAGCTACAAAAATTCCAATAAAACACATCAAGGTCTGTTGAAAGGTGGCAAAATATAAAAAAAATCCAGGGGTTTGAATAATTATAGTAGTCTACATTTTTTTCCTTCTCTGTTCTGTGATTGTGACTTATCATATTTTTTTCTTTTTATTAATCTTCTGTAGATTGGCGTTTGAATGGCAACACGCTGATATCCACCAAATCAGATCGTCTCTCTGATGAATCCTCCATCAGTGCCACCAGTCCTGCCTGTCCACCAGAACCTGAAAGTCCAGTAAAAAGCTCAACCACACCCCACCATCCCAGCCCCCCTACATTACCTCCCAACTCAAAAAATGTGTCCCGCCTTAGAAGGGCACCGAGTCTGAGCAGAACCCGACCTTCGCTGTCCCACAGTTCAGGTCAGTGGATCAAATAAACAAATAAACACCATTTGTCATTGGAAATCGAAGTTGTTTCACTTTACTTTCATCTGTTATGATGCCAATTTCTATTTAACATTATCCAGAAGCTTTCTTTATAAATAAAGTAGTAGTTTACTAAATAAAGTTGATCATTAGATGCTCAACATCCCCAAAATGACTCTTTTCTTTCCCCAGGATTATGGAATTGTAAAATGGGTTCAAATCTGTCTGTTTTGTTTTTTCTTTGCACCATTTTAGATGAGTTGTGCCACGCCACTTTAAGACACAAGAAAAATCTGTCTGCTCCTTCGGAGCTCTGTCCCTTTTCAAAGCCCGACCTGGTGCTGACTCAGAGTTTCAACCTCCTGAATTCAGAGGACTGGTGAGAGAAAACTTTTAACTGTCAGCAATTATCAATCTGAGGCACTATTACTTTCTTTGATAAATTACAAAGAATGTCCCAAAAAATCAAACTGCAATTCCTTAATATTTTTCAGGGAGAAGAAGATTGAGGGTCTGATGTTCATGCGCTCTCTTGCTTACAACCATGCAGACACGCTTCAAGGCAGACTTCATGAAGTTTGTCTGTATCTCATCCAAGAGGTAACAACGCTCAACCGCTTTACAAATTGATATTTGAAAGCTGAAATCTGGATTTGAGAACCACTGAGTCATGTTTTACCTGAACCAGTCTCACAGCAGATTACAATGCTGGGAAAAGTATTCTCTTGCACCTTTTTATACTTTGTCAAATTGCAACTACAAACTTTGTTGTATTTTATGGAAACTTGAGTGTGGTTACTTTTGCAAGGTGCTACATTAATATGCAAAATCAGACAACATTTTACGTCTCTAAAATTGAACTATCATAATGGAAATGTCCAATGCTAATAGAAAAATTGAAATAAACTCAGGTTTCCTCAGCACCTCATTCAGGCACTGTTTGTTGGATACGTGCCTAATCTTTATTCACAATTAGGTGCTGTTGTGAGTGACATTATTGCTCGATGGTTGTTTCATTGTTTTCAAAGTGCTAAAGACTACGAATGCATTACTTTTGCAGCAGTCCCTCACAAATTACTATTAGCTGCTGCTTTTCTGCCATCTGTTAGTGATGAAAAACAAACTGCTCTGACAATTTAACAAATCTTGAACATGTAGTGACAGAGATTATAATCAACTACTTTCTGTTTTCTCCAATCAGGTGAAGAACCTGCGTTCAGGGGTTTCCAGGGTGGCAGTGTGTACCCTTGGCGACCTGTACACACACCTTCAGAGACTAATGGACCAAGAGCTTGAGGGAACAGTTAAAGCGCTGCTGCAGAAGGCCGGGGAGAGTAACACTTTCATCAGGCAAGATGTCGACGCAGCTCTGGATCGCATGGTGCAGCACTGCACTCCGACCCGCTGCATTGGTGTTTTACTTACTGGAGGAATCAGGTTGGAATGAAAACGGGGTAAAAATTTATTTCACATAAAATCTGCACATTTTTGATTGCTGGATTTGTTTTTCTCTCTTTCTGAAAGTCACCTTAACCCAGTGGTGAGGAAGTGCACTGCTCAGCATCTGGCTAATCTGTTAGAGAAGGTTGGGGCTGCCCGCCTCCTGTCTGGAGGTAAAGATCTTACTGAAAGAATTTTACCTGCCATCACCAAGCTTGCACAAGACTCCTCCCAGGAGGCCAGGTATGTAGAAAGTTGTAATGCTCTAACGTGACACATTTTAAATAAGCATCTTCAAGTGTAACTTTGGTATTTTTCTCACCCAAGAATTTTAAATGCTAGAATTATTGTGTTTGTTTTTCCCCACAGGTACTTTGGTCGTCGAATGCTGCTATTTCTGTCATCTCACCCTGACTTTGATAAGAACCTGGAAAAATATATTCCCACTAAAGACCTGCAAACTGTCAGAGACACTGTCTTGACTCTCAGGACAAAGGTATGCATTTTATTTTCTTACTAACATTCTAATCTTTGGTGGATGTCACCTAACCTTATGATTGCTGTGGTTTTAGGGTCTGGGTGAGATGCCCCAAGACTCCCAGTCAGCCAGAGGAAGACGCTCACTCCCAGGCAGTGGAACAGTCAGGGCTTCATCTCTCAATAGAGAGCAACTCAACCAGGCCAACAGGTGAGAATGCTAAGCTTAGCAGAACTTGCATTTTGGTTTCATCTGGCCAGAGCACATTGGTTTGCTTTGTCTTCTTTGTGGCTTTTGGGAACTGTGCTAACTTATGACTTATCGTTGCTACGTGAGTAATCCGAGTGATGTGAATACTTTTGCTAGGTACTAGATATCAAACATCAGAAGATGCACAGGAAAAAATGTTACTACCAACAGTGTTTAATTAAGCTTTGTATTTTCTAACTGCAGGGAGTCGAACAGCCATTACAGCAGTAAATATCAGACACAGAGTATTGCAGACAAAAATGAATACATAAAGCAGATCTCAGGTCTGCTGGGTTCAAAGGACTTCAGAGAGCGGATCAAAGGCATCGATCAGCTAGTGGCTGACTGTGAACACAACCCCAACATGGTTGTCAATAGTATATTTCCGGTTGGTGCAATAAATCATTTCTTCACTCTGTAAAAATGATTATTGTAATTAAAACCATTGTGAATGTTTAGTAAGACTGTTTCACTGTTGCTTTTTGCTTTGTTGTATTTTAGGTGTTTGATGCCTTTAAAGCCAGACTGCAGGAGTCCAACAGCAAGGTTAACCTTTACGCCCTGGAGTCTCTGCAGAAAATAACCCATTTGCTGAAGGACAGCTTGTCCCAAGTGGTTAACATCCTGGTGCCTGCAATTGTGGACAATCACCTCAACTCCAAGAATAACGCCATCTGTTCTGCTGCTATCGGAGCTCTGAATGCACTTATTTTGAATCTTGGTAATTCTTTTAAACATTTACAGCGTAATTTCTGATTAAGTGGTGCTCTGTTATTGTGTTTTTTTTTCTTTTACTTGCACAGATAATATTCTTCTTCTTCAACCTTTCTGCACCAAGGCCCAGTTTTTAAGTGGCAAAGCTAAGGTGGATCTCATCGAAAAGGTTGCAGGTATGTTTGACATATTACATGTACCTCTCAACAAATTACAATCAGAAAGAATTATATATTTCAAGTATATATTTATATTACTTCTGATGATGAAGGCTTTTTTTTCTTCTAATTTAGAGTTGCACCAGTATCATAAACAGGCTAATCGATGCAACGTCTCACTCATTTCAACATATTGATTTAATCCCAGGTCTTGTTCAGGAGCTCTATCCTCGCAAGCCTCAGATGGTGGAGCAAAAAGTCTTGCCCTTACTGTGGCACCTTCTGGGTACCTCCACCCACAGCGGCAGCATCCACGGCAGGAGTGGCAGCGTTCGGACCGCAACGGCCAAGCTGTGCCAAGCCCTTCTCACCCAAATGGGGTCGAGCCTGAACGAGTGCGCTGCCTCCCAGCCTACAAATGTCCAGAAAGGTTTAAACGAGCTTCTGAAGACCTTCAAATAAAGGAAAAGCAAGATCCAAATGTCGAAAAAGAACATCAAGACTGATCTTACTTGAAACAAAAGAAATGTTCTACGTTTCTTATAGTGCCTGCACTTTTATATCAATATAAAAAAACTAACATCTTAGGTTGTTCCAGTTGTTCTATCAGTGATATTTACGTTGGTACAGAAATGTTGACATTCTGATATCAGGTCTTATTCCTTCTCAACCTGCTCTCTCTGCACTTTGAAAAGTAGCTGATCATCAAAGTTTCCTCCATTACGTACTGTTGACAAATCAGAGACACTCATCACAGAATGTAAAACAGAAATGCACAAGGTTAAGACGACAGGGAGCCCAAAGCTGTATATTTTTGATGTTTTATCAAAGGTGATGTGATATTTTTTGAAATGTCATGGAGATAATTTGAAGATTTGTGACAGATTAAAAAAATGGTATGAAATGCTTTTGTACAGCTCTGTTGTTTATTTGCACAGTATTAGCTTAATGTTTAAGTAATGTGTAATTGATGGTTATAATTTATCTAATGTATAATGGTCTGAAAATCATTAATGATGTGTTCAGTTTGTACTCCCATTTTCTTTGTTTGCATGACCAAGACTTTTAAGCAGAATCAACCTTGTATAATCTCTGTGGGGGGAATGGCTGTACACAGAAACCTAAAAGGTTGGAAAATTGTTTTTACACCTGTGATTGCCTGAGAAACAGCAAGAAGTCAGCTCTGTTTCCGTCTCTGTATCGTGCCAGTCTTCAAGTAGCCTTTTAACTGAAATGGTGATTTATATTTAACTGATTTGTGAACTAAAGAAAAGAGATATACGAATAAATGGTTTATTTCCCTAATACTAAACATCACTTTTTCTTCCAGCGACTACAAAGTTCAAGAAACAATCTGGTTTCTGTTCAGAAAGTTAATAAGGCCTGTTTTGAATTAGTCAGGTATGAAGAATTTAAAAAATAACCAGGATGCACAAATTTTAAGGTTAAATCATCTTTATTCTGGATGAAGTTGCTGGAGAGTTCCATGGCTTTTTTTTTTTTTTTTTTTTTTAACAGTATACATTTTCACATACATTTTAATTTTAACCCCTAAATGCAAAATGACAAACATCTTAATTGAAGAATCTGAGTAACTTAAAAGTTATGCTGGAAAAGACAACTGGAGACACACAGCCCTGACAGTTTGTAGGAGAGGGATTGCAATAAATTAAAACATGTCCAAGTTTTCAATTAAAGAAAATATAAAGAGACACCAGGTTATACTGCAAAAAAAAAGACTTAATTAAAATCAAACTTTTATACAGAAAGAAATATTTCAAGTATAAGCTAAGGGATACACAATCACAGGGAAGAACACCGACTTGACATCTGTCCACCACAGTTATTGTCATCCTCCACAAGAACAATAAGGATACCTCTGTTCACAAAAAAAAACATCATTGCTAAAGTTGGCTATTCAGAATCCTGCATAAAAAAATACTAATGGAAAGATAAGTGGAAGGAAAAAAAAAACTGGTAGAAAACTCCACAAGCAACAGAAACAACCCTACAAGCTTTACAGACATGGTTTCATTTTTCAGAAGTTGGCACTTACCAACATGGTTAACAGTGCTGCTACCTTGTTTAATAAGTTTGGTACCACTGTACTTGATTGGCCAACAAACTCAACACATTTATAGTTCAGATGAAGAAAAGACACTAGAGCCACAGATGAAAGCAATGTGAAGCAACTCAGAAGAGCTCCGAGTGCATAGACTACATTAGCATACTTTACACTGGGTCAACATTTATTGATTCAAAATCCGTTTTGTTTTAAATCCTCAAATTATCACAATGCAATGGATCTAAAAAACAAGCTTCACCTTTTCAATTCAGTTATAATTTACTGCATTGTTCAATACATTTTGCACAAAGTAGCTGCCACTTTTAAATGGCACTGTACAGAGAGTACATACTTACCATGAGGTTTTCCTGTATGAAACAGATTTTTTATAGCGAGATCTGAGTCTAACTCATAATGAAAATATAGCTAATTTTACATTTTGAAACATTACCTTAGCAATATATACATTTAAAAAAAACATTTTGTGCAGTAGATCTCCAACATTTAGCTTAAATCGCATCAGTTTTCCAGCAAAGATTTAAAAAAAAACTGTGGGAGACATTGATAGACAGCAAAGCTACCTTAAAACCTCTGCTGCAGTCAACATGCTGCTGTTTAAAGGGTCAAATAGGTTTTCCAGTTAAACACAGATGCACCGTCTGAAACGAAGCAACATGCACTGAATGTGCCGGTGTAAATTCACAGCTCATGAAATGTGCTTCTTTTGTCACAGAAAATTTGGATTTTTTTTTCTTTCTTTGAGTCAAACCCACTTTTGCCAAGAAAATGTTCAAAACATAAATGCATTTTTTTTTTCAACATCAGACTAGTTTGCGGTCATGTCTCTGTGCTATGAATGAGGCGTTTGATTTTGTTTTTTTTTTGGTTGCGCTCTAATTTAATGCTCTGCTGCATCCAGTCACTGGAATGCCCTCTCATCTCCACTGACTGAGTGGAAAAATGATGATCTCCATCTCCTTTGGACCTTCCTGCTCCCGTTTCTAAGGCAACTAGTTTAATGCCATGGTAACCTGTTCTTTTTGATATTTTTATCTTTTTGTGATGTTCAGAAAAGATTAACGCGTCATCAACGTTCTGAGCACCTTGCTCTGTCAGGGACCAGATGTCTTGGGCAGGTCTTGATTCTCGGCCAAGTGGAGCTTTTGTCTGAGCAAAGACGCATTAAGGATTCACACAGAATCGCTTTGAAGTGCAAATTGAATTAAAATACACTTTCCAATTAATGGCATGCTGGTGATGCCATTAATATACAAGCTTTCAAGAAGGAAAAGGATACATTGAGGTGCTGAGCTCCTCCAGCTGTGGAAACAAAACAGTAAATAGATGAGAATTGAACAAACAGCTAAAAATAGAATATTATATTGTACTTCAGGGCCGTCCTTTCTAAATCTGATCAGATTACATAACAGCCTGCACTTTGTGAGGCAATGTTTCCACTGAACTCCTGTTACCTGATCAGCGTTCACAAAAGCATATGATCATCTTCCTTTATCGACACAAATCCACTCAACAGCTCCAGCCAAAAATACTCCCCTAAGGCAAGGCGATTTGTCATATAATAAACTTTATAGAAGTAAATTTCTTCTACAAAATGGAAAAGCCACTTGACCTGCCTTCAGTTTGTAATACGATTTCTGCTCCAGGTGCCCACAGCAGCCTTCCTCCTTATCTAAAATGTCTTGTGTATTGCTTAAAAAAACTATTCAACAGGAAAAAAATAAAATTTACAGCTACATACACACACATATATATATATATATATATATATATATATATATATATATATATATATATATTATATATATATATATATACATATATATATATATATATATATATATATATATATATATATATATATATAGCAATGCAGAATAAAGTATTTTTGAACTCAACATCCACATCTCGTAATTTTTTTTTTCAATGCAATTCTTGCCAATTGAAATATATTCCTACTTTCAATTCTTTACGGTTAAAGTAAAGTCTGGACAGGGAAAAACATTTTCCAAAAATACAACAATTCCAGTGTGGGATTACATGCCAAAACAGGCTGAAGAGCCCAACAACAAGCTACCAATAGAAGCCGACTGCTGACAGAGAGGTTGTAAAACCATTTAGATTTTTTGGGAATCCTAAAAAATAAAAAAAAAAGTTTTTATATCTTCTGGTGATCAGGAAGACAAACGTGTCAGTCTTACCTGGCAGATTCTCTTCCCCATTCCAAAAAGTGTTGACATAGCTGTCTGATTATTGCAGCTGAACATTAGAGATAATCAGCTTCCCAGCTGCTTTTGGAAGAATGGGCTTTGCTTCGAGTGCTTATACTGATAATCCAGTAGACTCATATAAAAAAGTAAAGAATAAATAAATTCATCAGCGCAGCTTCCCTCTTCAAAAAATACAAAACAATAGAGTAGCATTGAATTTAAGTGCTTGTGGGATTTCTCTTTTGTGTTCGGTTAACATTACAAGCCATTTCTCCAACTCTGGTTGTATTTAACCGGAATACCCTGCGTTACAGTCCACTTCCTGTTTTCTGGTTTGTTTGCATCCAAATATAAATTACAACTGCACCTGAGTTCACATTAACTGAACAGAGACACAGGTTTTTAGACTGGCCAGCGATTGCTTTTTATTAGTTTGGATACGAGTTCGATTGCACGTTCACATCTCCTCAAATGAAGCAAACTTTCTAGATAAATAGACTAGATTTCTACTGAAATACACTACATAGGCTGGTGTGAGACTGGGATCAGATGGAAGCAAAAGTAAAAGTTGTGGATTACGTTTCCTGAGTTTGATTTGTAAGGGAGAAAAATATCAGAACTGACTGAACTCAGTTCTCATTGTGTTTCCCATTCAATCGGCTTTCTAAACACACATCTCGGTTCGAAACTGAATTTCTGAACTCTCTGCTGATCTGACTCATGCTTACGTTGCACAGCAGGTGTTCCAGGTTGAGATCGGAAGCACCCTTCCTCTGATCCTCGGAAAGCTCCTCCACGTGGCTGTCGAGGCTGAAGTGCAGCCGTGCCAGTTTCTCCTGCATCTCCCGCACGTGTTCCAGCTGCTCAAAGGAGCAAACCTTTCCTAGAAGTTGGACAGAGACTCAGCTTGACCTCTTATTTGTAGCAGTCAGAAGTATTTCCATGACCGGAGATTATTTAAGTAGCCGCACAGCTTCTTCTTGATTACAGCCTGATTCAGGTGACGAAGCTGTTATTTTTAAGCCTGTAACAGAATATTCCCCGAATGGGCTCCCACATGGAGGTTATCTTACCGAACGCCTGTAATTTGCCTGAGTGGAAGTCATTGAGGAGGTTCAGGAGGCCTCCTTCCATCTCTCTCACATCCGAGACATCTGTAAGAAAGGAGTGCTGCAGGGGGGGAGACTGGACCACTTTACTGGGCCCTGCCGGCTGCGGCGCCTTGGGTTTCTCCCTGTGTGGTCTAACGGACCAAAAAAAAAAAAAAAAGAATGTCATTTTCTCAGATTCCAAAGTTGGGTGTAACTGGTTAAGTAAAAAGATGCAAACCGTGTTGTCTTTGGTGGGGCTACTACAGGCGTGAACGCCTCTTTCGGCTGTCCCGGCGCTCCTATGGATCTCTTAAACTTGCTCCTGTTCTTGGGGGAGGGAGGCTGTGGCAGGCCGAGGGAGAAGGTGGCACTCTTGCTGGCAGGAAGGACGGAGAGCTTGCGGGGATTGATGGGTGGCGGAGGAGGCTGAGGGAGGGACACCTTTGGGCTGCGTTTCTTACGCTTGTCTTCCATGACAGCTCATTTGTGATTACTGCTTCCAGTGCAGGTAACACACACAGCCCAGCTGGCGTGCAGGACGGCCTGAAACAACAAAAGCAGGAAGCTGAAGAGCAGCAGTCCTCCTTCCCCCTTTCCTCTAGGAAGGACTTGGACTGTGCCAAAATTAGTACTGCAGAAGAAGAGTCTACCTCTGCACATTAGGGGTTGATTTAATTAGCCAAGAGTAAAGCATTCCAGCAAATCTCAAATTACATTTAGGCAAAAGGGTCTGTTTATGCATTTTTTCCTTTTTTACTCACAAAGAAAATAATCCTCCAAGAATTTTTATGTTTTCATAATAAATGGCACAAAAAAAAAATAGGACAAAAAGCTAAACTGCAGCAGTAGTGATTTTTTAATGCAACCATCTGATTGCAGTACTGGATATTTTAAGAGGCCTCTAACATGATCTACAGAGATGAGCCTTAATAGGATCTGGATGATGCATATGAGCACTTAGTGTTTTTTTTTAAAACAGGTTAAACTCCATCTGAACAGAGACAAGCCAAGGTTTTGTGTTGCGTTACATGGATTGTGATGGTGAAGTTAATCCAACTACCAAACCTCACCACAGCTCCAAATTCATCTTGATTTAAAGTGTTAAAAGCTTTTCATTTTCCCTGACTGGCTCTGATTGTAAATTAGCAGGTCAACTACCTAGAAAAAAAAGCTTCAATTTTTATCAGTACAAATTTAAAAATTAGGAACCCCCACTATTCCCATTAATAAACCACAATGTGTTTTATCTGTGCTTCTTAAAATATGCAGATGTTTAATTAAAGATGTGATTCAAGACTACAAAGTCTTATTTGTTTTCTCTACAGGAGTCACCATGTCAGAACTCAAAGAAAACAAATATGTTTATAACACTGGTTATGTTTTATATGAATTTTGCTATGGCTTTTGGAGCTAGGATATAAACAGTGGCTGACAAAAGGCTAAACGTGATCATACGGAGGGCTCTTTAAGAAAGCAATGCTCCTGATAGTCTTAGGCTTTTGTGGGCCCCCTGCTGGTGGGAGGAGCGCTACACAGCCACTTTGCTCACTTCTGCCTTTGGCCGGCTTCAAATGATAGTTGTAACTTCTAATATTTATTTCTTAAAGTCTGAGAAGATATTTTAATTTAATTCATGTTCAAAACAGCGTGCTATTTTTTTAAAGGTAAACAGTACTACATTACTGGGATTGTGACCTCACTACGCGCCTAGTATCTAATCACAGCGGACGATATCAGTGTCAGGTCGCCTTCAAATGCGGTCCAAAGATGGCCACTAGTAATAAACAAAGGGAACTTTGTGCGCTGAAATTCTCATTTCGATGCGGTACATCTGGACTATAACAATAATAAATGAGAAACAATGTATGGACAGCAGAGTGAGTTGCGTGCTGGTAAGTTCTGAGTGGCAGAAGACGCGTAAACGGGTTTATGATCCACAGACTGACACAAATAAGACCTACCGAATCAATTACGCACCACAGAGCCTGCCGGCTGGGCTCGGTGTCGCATTTCTCCTCCTCCTCTGCGACTGAAACCGTCTCAGGACACTTTGTACTAATTAACCTCTTGAAATCACGATGGAGGAAAATGATCTGTCCAGCAGCTGTGAAGTGTGAAATTACTGATGAGATGCAACGCGCGACATCGTCGACGCGGAGCCGGGGAGCTGCGGTCTATATCCGTCTTAAAGGGCCAGCACGCCCCGGTGTGGCACGGAATTCTGCGATCGTCCCAGGAGGTGACTCAAGAGGGCGCTGTTCGTTTTCTCACCTGTTCCCAAAACTCCACTGACGCGCAGTACCTTGGAAAAATGATCATACACTTAAACGTTTTGCACATTTCTACTGGGATTTTTATGTGATGACTGAAACAAAGAAGTGAAAAATGTAAAGTGGAGATACATTTTATACAAATGAAGCAAAATAACCCACTTTTGCTGAGAAAACCATAGATGAAATCCATGGCAACAAATCTCCTTTACAGGCACAAATCAAAAATTCAAAATGAGAAATAATCAGCATCATGTCAGGATAGGCTTCAAAACAAATTGAAAAAAACTTATTGTCCTTTTATTTTTTAAACAAAAATCTGTACAAGAATATTTTGCTTGTACAGACAATTCCAAAATGAGTCATGGTGATTGCAGTATTATGATGTTGGACTGTTTTTCTTCAGCCCAACAGAGCTACTCAGAGCTGATGGGAGGATGGATGGAGATAAACATTGGGGCAATTCTGGAAGAAAACCTGCTAGATTATGCAAAATACTTGAGGCCGGGACAGAGACTTATCATCTAGGAGGAAGATAGTAAACATACAACCAGATCTATAAAACCATGGCTTAGATTGAAGCTTATTCATGTATTTAAATGGCCTAAATATTGGACATAATACAGTTTAGAATCTGTGACATAATTTTAAAATTGTTGTTCACAGGTCTTCTGTTTAGGACTAATCAGATTGATTGAGTTTGGATTATTTGCTAAAACCTATCAGACCCAAATACATCTTTCTTAAAATCTACAAAGCTGGTAGAAACACACCTCGATATGCAGATATTTTTCAGAGTAACTTGTTAAGAAAACCATAGCACAACTGTAACCTTTTCAATTTTCAGGCGCTAACAGGCTTTAAAAATTGCTAATAAACCCATACGATCTTCAACAATGTCCTCGAAATCAGAGGAACTTCATCTGATTCTGTCCCCACTTTGTCCCATTAATGCTGTTCAATCTACTCTTCCATATTTAAAGTTAGGAATCAATAAATATGAAACACTTTTTAAAGTAATACAAAAATATTTATTTTTCTTATGGCAGTTCAGAACAAAACTGACACAAATCTGGATTGTAGAAAAAATACAGAACTCTTAGGCATGTTTATCTTGTTCCAAAGCAAGCGTGACCAACGACAACTGGAGCTTTAGCTGACTTTCTGGTCCGATGAGCTGTTTGAGAACGAGTACGCCTTTCCTAGGACTATTCTGTCTCTGAGGAGCTTGAAGAAGGCGTAGTAGTTGCTGAAGAGAATCAGGGCCAGCGATATCGTCTGATGCCACTTTTCCGAGCAAATGAGCGAGTAGAGCTGGTAAAAAATCATGGCACCTTCGAGGATGATGAGTATGTTTAATATTCGTAAAGGCTTGTTGAAGAAAAACTAGGGGGGAGAAAAATGGGACAGGTTAGTGTTGAAATGTGTAAATTCACATTTTGTCACATTTAGCCTCAAATGTCTCAATATTTTATGGCAGTTTTACATGATACACCAACAGGAAGTTGCAGAGAATTGTTAAATCAAAGGAAAACGCTTCAACATTTTTTTATGTGAGAGGCAGATCAGAGTTGACACAAACATTGATAGAGATAGACAGAAGATAAACATAAGGGGAAAACATGTTAGAGGCTGCAGAAGACTTGAGCTTGAACAGCAGCAACACAATCAGATCTACATTTTCATGTTAGAATGGCCTAATCAAAACCTAAACCTATTTGAGAATTTGTTAAAATATTTGGAAGCTGTTGTTCAGGCACTATCCAATTAAATTAACCTTCAGCAATTTTGTGAAAAGAAAAACTGTACAAATTTCAGTCTCCTGTCCTGATGTCACTGATGTAGAGCGTATGCATATTTTTGCAAGATAATGTGGTTTCTTTTTGAAACTAAAATTAATGCAATATAAAATCTCTTTCGCCAGCAAGACTCACATAGAAGCGATAGTGGGAAACATCTGAAGGGACCGCAACGTTATAGTGACCCATGGCTTTATAGACATTCTTATTATGTTTCACTAGGACCCCCTGTGGCCACATATACTCTTCAGTCCATCTGTAAAAGGAAAACAAGACATAGCATTACTCATTAAGTCTAGAAATGAGTCTGAATTGAGGTAAATAACAAACAGGAGTACGCACATGTGCTGAAGGACATTGGAGCAGAGAGAGGGGTCAACTTTCTGCCAGCAGCCCAGGTGGCCGGCAGCTTTGTGAAGGAGGTCACAATATCGAGGCGGCAACAAGTGTCTCATGAGGATGACTGACGTGCTGACCGATACCAGTATGAAGAGCTCACAGGACCACCGCTTGTCTACATACTGAGTGCTCTAGAGAACCATACACACAAAGAAATATATCAACATTCTCGTGTCAAAGACTTACCGAGATTGAACAGAATCTTACCTTTACAAACCAGACGGGTACAAACGCCACATAGTACGCGCTGAGCATGGAGCTGACCAGCACTTCCTTCATCCTCCAGTTGAAGTCCATCTTCAGATACTCCACCTCTTTTCGAATGAGGTCAGGTGACAGGCAGCAGGCGTGGGTGGGCATGGCCTGGACTCCGTACAGCTGGCTGGTGTGCTGCTTCCACGTCTCTTTCAGCACGGTGAAGTAGTCCCTGCCGCGGCTCACGCTGCCGACCTCTTTGGAGCCGATGCTCGCTATCGGCGAGAGAGAACCCGCTCGACGGAAATCACAACTCAGCCGGAAGAACGGGATGTACATTCCAAATCTGCGGGAACCAACACCTACCGTTAGATATTTGAAATGTTTCGGTTTCACAGCGATAATACTATCAAAAGGGATTTAAGAGAGGAAAAACGTTAGAAATTGAGGAGAAGGAAAATAATAGTCAAGGATTTAAATCACTATTTGCTGGAGCAGAAAACATGGAGATTTATATTCAGCCAATAAAGTGATTGTTCTGGTCTACAGAAACAGACCTTCTGAAGATTTTTTGTTGCAAAACACCAATCCAGACTCCAATTTCTCTGAATTCCTGACCTATTTTTAGTTGATGCATTTCTAGGTTTCCCAAAGATTAACAGCAGTTATTTATCAGTGATCATTTTTTAAAAGCACTTTCAAATGTCTTTGAAATAAAACATGAAATAAAAGTAGTTTTAAAATTGTCACAACATTTCTTAAGGGTTTTGGAACACGTGTGCATTTATGTTAACAAAGGTAACATGTCAAAATGTAATTTATTCATATATAGCACTAATGACTGTTAGTGTTGACCTCATGTATAATTAGAGATAAGCTCAAACATAGTATGGTGAGATATAACGTACTTTTTTAATATATATTTATCTGCAATTGTTCTTGCTGTCTGCAAATCAAATTGTTTCCTGGTGACAATAAAGCTTAACTAATCTAAGCTAAACAAAACTGTAAATTCCTTTACTTTAACAAATATTAACTATTTTTGAAAGGACATTTAAAACCTTTGTAAACATCATAAATGTGCATAGGTATGGTATAAATGCTTAAATAACAAGCCAGTAAAGGCTTTAAATGAGAGAAAATGTTGAATTTCTGAATTCAACATTCAGGAAGTCTTTTATTTTGTAGAGCCAGAAGTACCTTTGTTTGTAAAGAGCTAATTAGGGGTAAAGTCTTTTGAAATTACTTACTTGTTTATCACTGAAATCATTTTCAGAAAAAAATAATGTGATAATTATGAGGCCACACACAAAAAAATGAACAGACAGCTACAGATGAATACTACCCAATGCATCAATGAACACCACTGTCAAATAAATCAAATGTATTAACACATCAAGTATGGAGTCCGGAAAAATTTCCACTCATCTAAATGAAGATAAAAACTGAATCATTGATATTGAGTTCTGCTATTCTGTCCCTGTTTAATTTGCTTTTAGCAACATTTAAACCAGTGACAATATGAGTTGTTGTTAAAGCAACATTAACTCTCAGAGTTATTCTGGCCAGAAGCTAAATATGTCAGAGGATATTTCCAAATTCTGTGAATTTGGAAATATTCAGAGACATTTTACCTTTTACACTGAAAAGGTAATCGAAAGTAATAAAGAGCCATCAAAAATGAAAGGAGCTAACTGTTAAATCATTCAGCATCTATTTCAGACTTCATCAAGCTATTAATATTTAACTCATTCTTTTCAATAATTTACATGAAGAAATTCAATATGATACTTAGGAGATAATAACAAACACTGTAGGGAAACAAAGCTTGAAAGCCAATACTTGGCCCCTCAAATCACCCAGAAACATTTTGGGTGAACTAGAGTTACTTAATAGTTACATGGATTAAAACTCGTAATGACAGAAAAAAGCAGCTGGAGCATCAATGTGGAAAACACAGAACTCAACTTATTGCTTCAGATGAATACAGAATCAAGGAAACTGTTAAGTCATAGTTTTCACTCATATTAAACTCCAACCTACAGGTCTGAAATTTTAAGGTTTCTTTCTTCTTTTTATTCTTTTCTTTAGAATACTTACGGGTAGCAAAGGAAAAGCAGGCTGAGGACAGAGTAGGTTCTGAACAGATAAATGAGGGCGCGACAAAGACTCCAGCCTGTCAGCGTTAGCACTGCAAACCGGGCCATCACTAAAAATATTGAGTGGGGGAAGGAGAGTTTCCCACTCTGTGACGCCTGCAGGAAAAGAAAACCATAGTCAGACATAAGCAGAGTTATGCTCAGAAGAAACTAATGTTTGTACAACAGCAACTATTAACCACATCAATGCTAACATGGACACTGTTATCATCCTCCACAAAACAACAAACTTACCTCTTTAACAATTGCTGCAATCAGCCTTCTTGCCAGTATGATAATTGTGAACACCAGGATGTTATAATCAATAAGATGAAAATTCTGCAAATAACAACACTGATTAATTATTATCACAAAACTACTTGTTTGTTATTTTACATCTGCAGTTTCATTTTTAAGTTTTGAGGTTTTACATTTCTTGCACAAGTCAAACTGGAGATTCTTCAGGTGAACAACATAGAAGTTTGAGATCTCCGGAATGTAATTTGTGCGTACTGACCAGAGATGTGTGTGAGGGAGGGTGTGACGGTGGATACCACCACACAGTCTTGTAGATGTTGACATAGTGGACAAACAGGGCGATCAGGTGGCAGAAGAAGAGGTGAAGCTCAAACAACACGTTTCGATCCATGGACAGCTCGGGGATCTTGCAGTGCTTGAGGGGAACAACAGTCTGAGCGGCAAGCGGGGGGCTGGACATGCAGGTCCCAGAACCGTTTCTGCAGGCAAAACCTGAGCGTTAAAAAGTAATCATACCACTTGAACACCTGGACTGCATCCTGCATTTGTGTTCAGAAGCCCTCGGTCAATGTTTTATAGAACCAGCTTTTATGGATTTTAGGGCTTTTCTCTACCAGGAACTGTAATTATACTGGAGTGTCTGTGAAAATGTGTACCTCAGATTCGTAAAACGATTTAAATCTGGACTTTGACAGGGCCATTTCAACACATGAATATTCTAAGTAAATCTGGCTGTGTGATCGGGATCATAGTGTGGCTGAAAGGTGAACCTCCTCCCCAGTTTCAAATTTTAGCAACTTCTAACAGGTTTACTATGTTTTTACCTCTGTTCATCTTCTGACCAACTACTGAGTCGCTCCTGCGAATATGATCCCTGCAACGTAATGTTTCTACCCCCATGTTGAAGTATGCAGATGTTTTTTTTTCTTAAGATGATGAAGGAGCGTAAAGTAGTTTGGCATAATGGACAGATCAATGTGGATTGTGCCTTTAAATAAGTAAACAATGGTTACTGGAATCCCTGCATGCATTGCAGCTAATGAGAAACCTGACTTCCCATCGACTTTCCTTAAATTTTTTCTTGCCACTTTTGTCAAGTGAACAACTAGTAGTCAACCTATCAACAAATTCTCCAACCTGAGTGGTAGTTCTCTGCAGCTCATTCAGATGTATAACTGGTCTTTTCGCTCCGATTAATATTCTCCTTGCCCAAACTTGTCTGTCAAGCTGAAAAGTTGTGTCTTGAACAGCTGAAATTGAGCCACAGTCTTTCCATATCACTTTAAAAAGTGATACTGAAAGCTTGAGATCTGATCCCGACCTTAAACTTCTACACAACTTCGTCCCGGAGCTGGCTGCTGCTCTTTGGTCTGCATGACACTGTTCGCAACCAAACCTCAGAGTCTTTCACCAAATAGCCGGATTTACAGAGAGCGTGAATGTGAACTATACTTTCTAATATATGACATCCAAAACACACTAAAAATTATTTAATGGTATCAGAGTACACAGACATGACACACTTCTCCAAAAAATTATCCTTTACTTTAAAAGTATATGCTTCGCAAAGTGAGTCTAACATCCTAATAAAGTGCATTGAACTTTGCTTTTGTGATGTAGAAAAACTTTTGCAAAGTAGTGTGCAGTTTTTCAGTTGGCAGGCGCTGAACTGCGCAGCACAGATGAGGCGAGAAGATAAAACAGGACACTTGCCTTGCACGGTTTCGCACCCCGGTGACTGGAGAGCTGGTGGTGTGGTTGCCATTGCTGACGGAGCCTGGATCACTGCTTAACGGAGGTCTGCAGTAGGTGGTCCGATTCGTCCCTCTCCTTCCACCGGCCATCGCAAAGACACCCACTGCTCACCTTTATGCTTCCTGTCGAGCTGCGTGGTCTCTCCCTCTCTTTTCTTGCACCTTGTTCACATTAAGACAGTGAATCAGTTGTAGTACACTGAAAGGAAGCAATCGTGCAGAATCTGCAGCTTATACATTTTTTGAAATCATACATTTATTTTTAATTGTGAGTAGATTCTATCATGTCATGCATAATTTCATGGTAATACATTGCTCAGCGGTTGCATCAAATAGAGCCAAAACAAACACAACCTTACAACCTAAAGGGAATCAATGCCATGATAAGCACATGAAAATATCCAACAAAACTGAATAACAAGAAATATTTCATGCAAAATAAGCATGCATGGAGCCCCATGTTGGTGATGCAAAACAAGTTCATTCAAGCTGCATATCATCCCAAATTTGGCTGCAGCTTTTGCGGAAGTTGTCATTACAAGTTAGCAACGCAGCTACAACTGCTGTTTTTCTGCTTTGAAAATACACCACGAGTCGTTTGCATTTGAGAGCAGTAGATCAAGAGGGGGGGGCAACATGGATCACAACAATGAGGCCCCCTGTCCTTCCGCCAAGACCACGCTTGATTAAATATCAAGATTCAGGCCTAAGCTAACAGAAAGCTAACAGGCTAGCAGGCTACTATCCAGGTAAACAGACCACGGAGGAAAATATGCGCTTACCGCTGCGGGTGGTCAGTAGGAAGCTCGCCTGTTTAACTGATAACGGGCTAAATTGTCAGAAGATTTCTCAAAACAGTGGCTGTTATTGCACTGAGCCCAGCCAGGACACTCATTGTTGATGTGAAGCAAGTCGCTGGTGGGTGGAGGCGCGGATATTGAATGTGGGAGGAGAGTTATTTAAAGGGACATTCAGACACTTCTCTGTCTCTCTCGGAAATTTAATGCAACGCCAATATGTGCCAATTAAAATACCAAATATTAGAAAATAAGTTATTTCAGTAATACATAGATACATGGACAATTATAGATACCGGTTGGAATAATTCTGTATTATGCTGCTGTGCGTTCCACCTTTATGCCAGAAACACCAGAGCAGGAAATGCTGTTTTCCCTGAAGTGAGCCTTTTCAGTGCTGAGTTTTTGGATTCTTGTTTCCAATAAATTCTTATACATTGTAGAACTGTTTCTAAATTCACCAGTTTTTGCAACATTCTTGACATTTTGAGAGCAAAGCAGTGACTTGGTTGCTTTTTTTTTTTAGATTCTATCCATCCAGGTTGTTGACAAATTCTCATGCTTTGTAGAATTGTTTCTAAATTTAGATTTTTGCAACGTTCTTGACATTTTGAGTACAAAGCAGTAGCTTGGCTGGCTTGAATTATCTGCACTTTTCAAATAATGCTGAATTTGGCTGACAGTTTTCCAATCAGTACATCCACATGGAATCAGGAAAAAGCTGACATTGTTGTAATAAACTGCAGCTTTGATAAACACAACCAGTTTGGCTTAATAAACTCAATAAAAATCTGACAAGGGATTCAGTTTAGGAATTAAAAATCTCCATGCTTCCATATTTGTCCATTTTTTCTCTGTACCTGAAAAATACTTTCAAGACCTATGAGCCCTCTAAAAACTAATCACACCAAGGTGTGCATGTACAAAGCTGAGAAAATGTTCTCCTTTACACGTCTTTTTGCTTTTCAAACTTGAGATAACATGAATGGAACAATTTTCAATTGAGTTTCAAAATCAGACCACTATCCAACCAAATTTGACAGTGCTTAAAATAGAACAAATGCCAATTGTCTCATCCTTTGCAGAAACCACCAGAGGAATTTGTGATGGTTGTCAAAAACTTTACTGTAGATTAATTTCAGCCACATTATAGTGTTTCTATGCATGAAAGAAAAATGTCAGTATTAGAGAATAATCTGAACTTTGACTATACCACTCCAGAAGTGAGCTTGCCGTTATGAACTCCATGTTTGTGCTGCTAGAACAGTGGTGCCAAAAGTTGGTCCTTGAGGGCCAGCATCCTGCATGTTTTAGTTCTCTCCCTGGTGGCAGAAACAACCTTCTCAGCATGTCAATGTTCTTCTTAGGCCTTCTAATGAGCCATCACTGGATCCAGGTGCACTGAACCAGGAAGAGAACTAAAACATGCAGGATGCCGGCCCTCAAGGACCAACTTTGGGCACCACTGTGCTAGAAAATTGAATGATGCGTCCGATACTAAAATGCTTTCACATCCTAAGCATTTCTGTGATAAAATGGAGGAAAAGCAAAGGCAAATACTCTCACAACTGACAACATCTAGCTATCAAGAGTCTTTAAAGAAAACACAACTGATAAATAAAAAATGTTTATTTTCAGATTGTTTCTTTTTTTAGTATACAAAACATGATTAGATGAGTTGTAAAACACTTTTGAAAAGTTAGTCGTCCCCCAAAGTTTGGATTCAAATGAAAAAAATTAAATAAAAAAAAAAAAGCCACTCCAAGCTTCCACAACACTTCTTCAAGCACCTCGTTCATAGAAGAGGTGAAAAACGGCCATCAAACCAGACTCATCCACTTGGACAGCATTTGGTCCAAGTAGCCCTTCACAGGAACCCTGCACGGTCTCAGTTTGCAGGGAGTTTCAAATGGACCTGCCGAGTACAGCAACAACAGTCAGCAAACTTCATTAAACATCAAAACCTGATTTTGTTCTTTTCCAACTGACCTTACGGGCCTGAGCTGCTGGAGTTGAATCTATCAACTGCACCAACACAGTTCTGATAACCTAAGAGGAGAAAAAGAAATGAGATCCAGAACGCACAAATGTCCAAGTACACCAAGTGAGCAACAAAACATGCAAAACTAATTTTATACTAAATAAAAAGTATCATGCAACTCGAGCTGAAGAGTTTTTGCCCATTAATGGAATGTTTTAAGGCTTTGAGTGCAGCTACTCATTTTCATTAAACTACATTCTACAGAAATAACCAAGATGGATATAAGTATTGAGTGGAATGAAACAATTATCGGTTTTATTTGAGCAAGAGTTGCATCACAACCACATGATTGTTTTGTGCGTCTTAATTTTGCTCGGAATAAACTACTGAATATCACAGCATAATTTTGTACTTTAATGGTTTTGATGTTTTGGATGACTTGCATTACTTAAACATGTTTTGCACAGAAAATAAAATAAAAACAGAACAAATAAATCTAATAAATGAGTGTTGGGGTTAGTTTTACCTTCTTGTGGCGACCTTTAGGCTTTTAGAATCCTCTCCTCTGCGATATTTTTCTTTTATAAAAAGCAGCCAGCATGACTTTGCATCAAAGTCAAGTAAGATCCCTGCAAGCTTGATTTGGGGAATACTGTTGAAATTCAGTCATTTTCAAGTGGCTGGAGATACATTGCGCTCTTGAGAGCTCTGAGAGATACACTAACTAAAGATTAATGACAATACATGTTAAAGCACTGCATCATTGTCAAGTCAAACATGAATTTGGCAGCACATAATCTCAGGTAATGAGCTTTATTATGTTTTTTTTTTTTTAAACGTGACATTACAAGTGCCATTTAGTTTGGATAAACAGACGAAGAGCGTAAAGTCATTGGAGGGGAAAAAAAACAAATGCTGCCCTTTTTTGTATTTTTCAAATTGCGGTCAGGTTAAACGTGTAAACATACAAGCTTGATCAGCATTGGAGAGCCATTGAGGACCATTTTCACAAAGTGAAGATAATCCTTTGGTACAATAAAGGCAAAAATACCAAGTTTAGATTGATTAAAATGAAACTAGAAACTTTATTGAAACACGCACTGCAGAAAAACATTTTGGGATATGTTTAGTATCCTATTTAGTCAAAAAGGTACACAAGCATTAAGCATTTTGGAGACGGCACGACTTAAACCATACACAGTTATCCTAAGGTTATGTACAAAATATTGAGGTGGCTGCAGCCTTGTATCCTTCAAACTTAACAAGAAATTATATCAGTATAATTTTGTACGTTATAGAATGGCTTAATATACAAATTGTAAAGGTGGCAGAAAGACGGATTTCTATATTTTAGGAGAAAATTAGATTGGCAATGTTGAATACAATAATGAGACTTTTGATGCAGATCAAAATATCTTAAGGCTGTGTTTAAATTTGTTTTAGGTATATATAAAGTTACACTGAAGCATTAAGAGCATTAATGTCCAGTCATGAAGGACTTTTGAGAAATGCAGCCTATATGGTAAGAGTTTAATCGCCACAATCACAGTTTAAAGTTAATCATTAACTGAAAGAGCCATCAAATATCACTAAAATATCACTTTTTCCATTTGTTAAGTTTATGTAACCAATTCCTTACTACGCAACTGAAACATTTAAATGGAAACAGATAAACAATGGAAAAAAAAACCCTCTGCTCCTCTCGTTTCTTATCTGGTACTCTGATACATCCAACAAAATGTCTCTAAGTTTTAAAAAAAGATAAACATAAAATAAACCGTTAAAAAAAGGGGGAACAAACGAGAAGGGAAATTACTTTTTGAAAAGTTAAGCCTGTTACAATCGGGAGACAGTTGCCATAGCAACTCTCTACCGGTAGTTGTTCAGTATCTGACGTATGGATGCTCCCTGTATGAACCCTTGGACTGCCGCGTCGGGGGAGCTTTGCCTCCGGCCCCGGAGCCGGACCACGAGTTATCCCATTCACCCTGACCTACAAACAGGACACACACACACACACACACACACCAAAGCAGTTAACCTTCACAGCGTCACACACAGGAGCACTTTGACTGGAGTGGTTCGGTAGTACAGAGAAGCGTACCGTAGCTCTCATATGACGGATCCTGGGCTTCACCGTGTCCATAATCGTAGTATTCCGTGTCGCTGAAAGCAAAAATTAAGAAATCAGAAAACACATTCAAGGGGAAAAAAAGTATGAAAAACTCTTCAATTTGACTTACGCTGGAGCAGGCTGCTGACTGTAATAGCTATCATATCCCTCGTAAGAAGGCTCTGCGTAAGATTCCTCATATGAACCCTAAATGGGGAAAAAATTGTACGTTTAATAAGAGACATTGCCATCAAAATAAGCCTTTATTCACTTTGCCGCTTACATATTCGTCGTAAGGTTCAGGTTTGGGCTGTGACCCTGAAGGACCTGCTTGATGGGACAGGGCTGCGGCAGGGAGCATCCTTTGAGCTCCGCTTGCAGGCGGCCTGGAGCGGCCAGAGGACCCTCCTCTAGCTGCAGCAGAGGGTGGTCCGCCCCTACCAGCCGGAGCCCCTCTGGGCGCGTTTCCTCGAGACATTCCGCCACGGGGAGTTCCTCCACGCATCCCTCCTCTGAGATTTCCACGTGGCATCCCTCGTCCCCTAGAAAATATATATATTTTTGTAATTTTTTTTTATACATGTATAAAACTTGACTAACATCTTTTAACTATGAATTTTCAAACTTCCACTCACCTTGGGCCTCCTGCACCAGGTGGTCCACCTCTGCCCCGTCCAAGGCCACCTCGTCCCCTTCCAGAACCATCTTGGGATCCATTCAGGAATTGAGGGTCCATGTAGGGGTCATGCTCACCAGGCTCCTGTAGTTAAATTAGAAAAGTTTATAAGCATACACAATTGTGCATTAAAAGCAGATTAAGGTTAATGGGATAAAAGATTTCACTAACCGGGATGAGGAACTTCTTGACTTCATCCATGGCGTGAGCCATGCGCAGATAGTTTTCTGGTATGGGTGCTGTAACCTCAATGAACACATGCAGCTCCATGGCCAGGTGAGCGTATTTCGACTCACCGCCCTTCCTAAGTTCTTCCTCCTGGAAAATAACGTAAATAGTTTATATATGTTACATCCTCTGAACTGAGCTGCAAAGGTAGAAAAAAATTGTTCTATGCAGAAACCTTATTCTTGTCTCTCATCGAGCCTTTCCCCAAAACTGAAATCTTTGCCCCCGTCTCTTCCTGGAGTCTTTTGATTGTGCTGCCCTGAGGCCCCAAGAGCTTCCCGACAAAGTTGACCTGCAGAATAACGACAATATCATTCAGCAGCATGTCAATGCAATATTAACTCGTACATTTTTTGTCCATTAACACAGCATTATTAAGATGTAGTAACTGTAGAACTGCTCATGCAGAAACAGACACATGCACGACAGGAACACTGAAGCTGCAGTTCCAGTGGAAGAGGTTATGGAAGAAGCAGAGCACAAGGATTCATCTGAGATGGAGGACAGGCCACTTAAAGACATGCTCAAGACTTTTGATCCCACCTCTTCTCCTTTCTGCCAGATTTTTTAGTGTTGAAATTTAAAACAACAAGTAAAGCTACACGATGTAACATTAATAAAAATTTTTTTTTGCATATTTGTTGGAGCTTTCACCATGTCGCATAACATGCCAGACCAGCACTTTCAGACTTAAGCTACTCATCTTCAGATTATTCTTACATTGGCATCATGATAGTTACAACAGTAAGATATATGCTTAGTGCATTTTATTTCAATTATCTCAACATACAACATAGGTTTCAGAAGAACCAATTATTTTTTTTATCCAATCAATTTTGGAAAACTGAAGTCTTTTAAATGCCTAAAGCTGAGCATCTGAATTGTATGGCCTTGCAAAGAAACCCTGCAGCAGCAGCTGATGCATACCCTGGGATACTGCTTGGTTGGAATGAGCACTCGCTCCTTTAGTTTCATAGTTTTGGTGGCAAACAGGTCCAGGTAAGTCTCCTTCTCTGGTGTCTTCTTAGTTTCTCCTTTCTGGATCCTCTCAATCTCTGCAATAAAGAATTATAGTTTTGGCATAAATTAAAATGCATACACATCTAAAATACATTCATCAATTTTCAAACACCCCTGTCCCTCGTGGGCTCAGTTGCCCTGTGACAGACTGACAGGTCGCCAGTCTGTCACAGGGCAACAAAAAGATAGAAAAAAAAACAACAAACGCTCACTCACTCCTAAGAGAGACCAATTAACCCGACAGTCATGTTTTTGGACCGTAGGAGGAAGCCGGAGTAGCGGAGAGAACCCACGCGTGCACAGGGAGGACATGCAAACTCCGTGCAGAAAGACCCCGGGCCGGGACTCAAACCCAGGACCTTTTCTGCAAGTCAACTGCTCCACTGTGCAGCCCCCCATCTAAAATACAAAATAAACTACACCTCATATGTAGTCTGTGAAGGGCTGTGGTTCTTATCGTGATGCAATAATTACAATGAGCTAATCGATTGCTACACAAATGTTTCATTTAATCAAGTTTCATTGCATCTCATATGGCTCGCAGAAACAAGTTGAACATATTAATCCAGAGGAGGGGTCTGACCCAACTGTCCACCAACCACGTGTCTTAATGCGCCATTGTTCAGGCCTGGCCGCGAAAGACAAGCTGGTGTCAAAATAACTACATAAAACACATTTTTTCCCTTCAGCATAACACAAGAAATAATCACATTACCAGCAGTGATTAGCTTCATGGCGTGTGTAAACGATGAATCCAGGCTGTCCTTCTCGGCCAGGAGCTCAGGGAGGTATTTAGTGTCTTCCATTTTGATTTTCTTTCTTTGCTAAGGCTCGACTATGGCGGACTCGCTGATGCTTGGCTTTCTTGCAGTCGTTGGAAGCAAAACTGACTCGCTATTTGTTTACTCAGTTAAGTGCGTTTATTTAGCTTATTTTGTCTTTGAAAATGATCTTGGTGTGGAAAAATATTAGCAGACTGCGAAGCGGCGACCCCGGCCGGTGTGTCTCCTCACCAGACAAAGGAGGGATGGCGCAGCAGCATTTGAGAGGAAAGGGAGGAAGTGACGTCATTGGGACATCCGCTTGCGTCCCGCTTCCTTTTTATTTTAGTTTTTTTAATCATTTTACTTTGAGGGCTTCCCCTCCCCAAACCATTATTGAGTAACAGTGTGTTTATTTTTATATTATAAGTATAACAATTCCGTGAAAGAGTGATGTATACTCTTTACTTATAAACATTTTTTACTCGACATTTCATTTGCTGATAATGATCAACATAGGAGTCAAATTATTTTTATACGTTTTTAATTTTTTATCTTTAATAAAGCTGCCGATTAAAATATTTTGGAAAGAATATTACAATAACGGAATAGAAGAATACCAAAATTATATATATATATATAAAAAAAAAAAAATTCCCTTCTCACCCACCGCGGGTGGTTCTTATCCTCTGAGCTCGGGTCCTCTACCAGAGGCCTGGGAGCTTGAGGGTTCTGCGCAGTATCTTGGCTGTGCCAAGGACTGCACATTTCTGGACTGAGATGTCTGATGTTGTTCCTGGGATCTGTTGTAGCCACTGCTCCAGTTTGGGGGTTACTGCCCCGAGGGCCCCGATGACCACAGGCACCACTGTGGTCTTCACCTTCCAGGCCCTCTCCAGTTCCTCCCTGAGGCCCTGGTATTTCTCTAGTTTCTCGTGCTCCTTTTTCCTGATGTTGCAATCACTTGGTATTGCTACATCTACCACAACGGCTTTCCTCTGATGTTTATCCACTACGACAATGTCTGGTTGGTTCGCCATTACCATTTTGTCTGTCTGGATCTGGAAGTCCCACAGGATCTTAGCTCTGGCGTTCTCCACCACCTTTGGGGGTGTTTCCCACTTTGATCTCGGGGTCCAGTCCATATTCTGCACAGATGTTTCTGTACACTATGCCTGCCACTTGGTTATGTCGCTCCATGTACGCTTTCCCTGCCAGTATCTTGCACCCTGTGGTGCAAGGGGCCTCCTTGCACAACCTACACCTTGGGTCTTGTCTGGTGTGGTAGATCTGGGCCTCTATTGCTCTGGTGTTTAGGGCCTGTTCCTGGGCTGCCAGGATGAGGGCCTCTGTGCTGTCCTTGAGTCCAGCTTTTTCCAGCCATTGGTAGGATTTACTGATATCAGCCACTTGGGTTATTTGCTGGTGGTACATCCCATGTAGGGGTTTGTCCTCCCATGATGGTATCTCTGGCACCTCAACCTCCGTTCCCTGTTGTCTGAGACATTCACTGAGCACATTGTCTGTTGAGGCTTTGTCCCTGATGTATTTATGGATCTTAGTTGTTTCGTCCTGGACAGTGGTTCTCACACTCACTAGTCCTCTGCCTCCTTCCTTGCGGCTCGTGTACAGTCTCAGGGTGCTGGATTTGGGATGGAACCCTCCATGCATGGTTAGTAGCTTTCTAGTCTTAATATCTGTGGCTTTTATCTCCTCCTTTGGCCAGCTAATTATTCCAGTAGGGTATCTGATTACTGGCAGGGCATAGCTGTTTATCGCACGGATTTTGTTCTTGCCATTGAGCTGGCTTCTCAGGACTTGCCTTATTCGTTGGAGATATTTAGCTGTGGCTCCTTTCCTTGTGACCTCATCGAGGTTGCCATTTGCTTGTGGTATACCTAGGTACTTGTAACTGTCCTCTATGTCTGCTATTGTTCCTTCTGGGAGTGAGACCCCTTCTGTGTGGATGACCTTCCCCTCTTTGTGACCAGCCGACCACACTTCTCTAGTCCGAATGACATTCCCAATGTCAGTGCTGTAGATCCTGGTGGTGTGGATCAGTGAGTCGATGTCTCGCTCACACTTGGCGTACAGCTTGATGTCATCCATGTAGAGTAGGTGACTGATATTGGCCCCATTTTTGAGTCTGTATCCGTAGCCAGTCTTGTTGATAACTTGGCTGAGGGGGTTCAGGCCTATGCAGAACAGTAGCGGGGACAGAGCATCTCCTTGGTATATGCCACATTTGATGGACACTTGTGCAAGTGGTTTGCAGTTGGCTTCAAGGGTGGTTTTCCACAGCCTCATCGAGTTTGCAATGAAGGCTCTCAGAATCCTGTTGATGTTATACATCTCTAAGCATTCAATGATCCAAGTATGCGGCATTGAGTCATAGGCTTTCTTGTAATCGATCCAAGCCATGCACAGGTTGGTGTGTCGGGTTTTGCAGTCTCGGGCAACTGTGCGGTCTACGAGGAGTTGGTGTTTGGCTCCTCTGGTATTTACACCGATACCCTTCTGTGCCGTGCTCATGTGTTTATCCATGTGTTTGCTTATCTTGGCCGCTATGATGCCTGACATAAGCTTCCAGGTTGTGGAGAGGCAGGTTATTGGTCGGTAGTTGGGTGGGACTGGACCCTTTGATGGATCCTTCTGGATTAGGATTGTCCGCCCTTCAGTTAACCATTCAGGGTGAGTCCCACTTTGTAGCAGCTGGTTCATTTGGGCTGCCAGTCGCTCATGGAGAGCAGTGAGTTTCTTTAGCCAGTAGGCATGGATCATGTCAGGCCCTGGTGCTGCCAGTTTTCATACCTGAGACTCTTTCTTGGACATCTGTCACAGTGATGGTTACCGGGCTTGCTCAGGGAGGTTGCTGTGGTCCTCTCGTAGAGAGATCAGCCACTGTGCATTGCTGTTGGGGACGCCTCCCTTTCCCATATGCCTTTCCAGTATTGTTCCGTCTCCAGCCTTGGTGGGTCTGCTCTGTTGTTATTGTTACCCTGCCATTGAGAGTACACCTTAGCTGGTTGAGTGGAGAAGAGCCGGTTAATCCTTCTGGATTCATTCTCCCCTTGTGTATCTCTTTAGGCGGCTGGACAAGGCTTGGAGCCTCTGTTTGGCAGTCTCGAGTGCTTCAGGTATGGGCATCTGCCTGTACTTTCTGGGTACTGGTCTTTTCATTGCACCCTTGTGGAGCTCTGACAGTTGGCTCATTCCCTTCTTGTTACCTTGATTTTAGCCTCTAACCGTCTATTTCCATGGTGGGTATTGGGTCTCATGGTTGCTCTTATAGCCAAGTATCTCAAGGATCACTGATGCTGAGTTGTAGATCAGCTCATTGGTTTCTGTTATGGTGTTGGTAGGGATCGTTCTCATGTACTTCACTCAGCCGTTGTAATTGGCGCCGGGAGGCCTGGTTGTCATTCGGGTCATGATTCTCTCTCTCAGGTCAGCAGCTGTCTCGTTCAGCTCTGTTTCGCTCATTGGGGCCGTGTATCCCCTCACTGGGTGGGGACTTGTAGTTAAGTCCCCACAGTCCTGACATCCGGGTTCCTCCCTTTTGCCGTAGCATTTGTGTTGTATCTCGTCAATCTCAAGTTGTGATAGCAGTTGCCGTTTGCGGATGTTGGAACACTGAGCTACTAGTTGTTTAGCGCTTAGTGTTGACTGGGGATGTCGAAGTAACCATTCCTTCCCCAGTCTTTGCATGTAACCCTCTGACTAGGGTTACTTGAGTAGTAGCATTCCAACAGATCCACATTTTCATCTCTCGCCCATTTCCGTCTTGTTCCAGTAGCCCATTTGTCATCAAGGTGCTCTGGTTCCCCAACACCTGACGCAGACCTTGTTGGCCGGGCGACGTCTGAGCCGGCATGTTACAACTTAGTATCTCTCATGGTATAGGTAGGCAGTAGCTTGAAGGGTCTTGCCTAAGGACCCAGACTGGATTCGAACCCTGCCCTCTCGGGTGATATACTGATGCCTTATGTATTGAGCTATCCAGTCAGCTATATATATATATATATATATATATATATATATATATATATATATATATATATATATATATATATATATATATATATATATATATATATATATATATATATATATATATATATAAAGAAAGTAATTACTTAATTTAAGGCATCCATAGTCATTACATGAAACTACAAATCATTTATTGATACTTAGGCAGTTCATCTGTTATTCCAATGATACCACCAACAAATGCATTAAAATGTAATTTTCAACTTTCATTATAACCCATGTCCCCATAATTTGTTTATCTAGAGATATTTTTTCTTAGTGTAAAGTTTTGCATTACATTTCACAAGACAGTATTCTTTAATTAAATGAATTTTCAACAGGCCTAATTAGTAAACAGTTCATCAACGGCAGTAAACTTGATTTTGCTAGTTAACGATAAGAGTATGAAGTAAAACAAAAATCAAAATGATGTGCATATGTAGACTGAACAGTCCCAATGAACCAGGAGTGTTGTCTGTCCTCAGAAGTATCTTCAAATATCAATGATGGCAAATATTTCTGGTTTTACTTTATCGTGGATCTGCATTGCTGAGTATGTTATAGCTTTCACTTCGGTTCCCTTGGAAAACAAAAAGCAAAACACAAAGAGCATAACAGGATCAATTAGGTTTATTCTAACTTTTACTGGATACATTAAAAGTGATATATAGATATGTAAAAATCTCCTCTCCTCTGTGTCCTACCTGTGGATGTTTTGCCAGAGAAAATTCTTCACCCCATCTTTAATTAGCATTAGAAACAATACGAGTCAAACACACAGTACCAAGTAGTCTTCATCCAAAAATCAGTAAAACCTAAGCTCTGTTTGGAATTATTGCATCGATTACACATGGTCTGTTTTTGAACAGCATAAAGTTGACAAATACATTTTCAATAACAAGAAAAAAATACATGACTCTTCTTAAAAAATACCACTAAGTTGATTCCATGAAAAAATAACTGACATAAAACTATTTAAAAAAAACTAACAATTGTATCGAAAATACGATTAATAATTTAATCAAATATGACAAAACTTACCCAATGGATCGAATCTTGAAATGCATTCTGTCAATGGACACCACTTTGATTTCCTGATGAACAGGCACAACAGATTTAAGCACAAAACAACACAAAAAATAGCTAGTGAAATTATCAGGTTCCTTAAGAAAGATCAAAGAAATATTCTAACAAGAATGATTTAAAGGAAAGAAAAGAATTAATAAAAAAAAATAATAATTAAGTTTCAATAATAAATCAAATAGCAACAAGTAGCCAGCTGACCCACCCTGGGGACAAAGAAGAGATCTGCACAAAACTTGTATAACCAGTCATCTAAGAAATGGAAGAGAAGAGACTCCATGTCTTCACCTTTAGAAAAAGAAGAATACAAACAGTGTTCAGCTTTATTGATTGTGAAACATCACAAATAAGCTGATTAAAACAGAAGTTAATATCTTTGTTTTATCCTTTAAATCATGTTTCCAAACATATAGTTGTTCGGACATTTTGTAGAGAAATGGAACACCACCATGCCTCCCTACAGGTGGGTAATTTGTAGGGGTTTTTTTTGGTTTCTTTTTTTTACACCAAACAGAAGTTTGGTGTAAAATAGGATGACCAGATCATCCCATTTCCAATATGCTTGTTGGATTGGTTTTATCAAGATTTTCTTTAAAAATATTTCCATCTTGCTCCCCTACCCCAGGGCAATCGTTCAACATTGCTGCAGACATCTTGAAGCCAGCTTTCTTCTTATATTGTATTTATACTTTCTTTCTTTTATCCTGGTATGGCAATCATTGCATATTTTCCCCATTTGATGATGAATATCTTGCTATGTTCCTTGGTATTGTCTGACACTTTTCAGTCTTCTTCCATCTCCTGACTGAAACATTTATTTCATGGAACATATATCTTTTTTCATTTTATGAAACAGTTTTTTACTATTTTGCATTGGTATGCCACATGAAACTCAAAGAACAACAAGCTTTCTGCTGATTTCTCACCTTCTGATTCCACTTCAACAGTATCAATGGGTTCCACAGTTTCTGTGTCCGTCATGTAGCCAAACATTCCCATCGCACACTGCTCAAAAGCTTCCTCCAAGGAGTCTCCCCAGGAGTGAATTCTGGAAAAATATAAATACATGGGACAATTAAACTGGTCATTCGACACAAGGCAGACACTCATTTATTAACGCAGGAGACAAAACACTCACTGCACATCTGCTGTATGATCCAGATCTGAAATAAAACATGAGGTATGAGTTTAATGAACTGCAGTTGCCGGGGTAAGCAGTTGTAGCCACTGTATTAAACGAGGTATGTTTAATACCTCGTTCAGGTAACATGCTTAATTTAAGATGTTTTAACATTCTTTTTTTTGTATCTAAATCCAGTGTAAATTACTACAAACAAAACTTGGTTTATTTACCTCACGGAAAAAGCTAAGCTACCAGCATTTTTTCGTGATTATTCCTGACTTACATTCATATTTCTTGTTGATAGGAGGATATTTTGATTTAATAGCTTTCTGTTCCTTTGTGAGGTCGAGCTGACGGTCATCCATTGAAGCTGGGAGTTGATCTAAACATAAAAATTATAATTATTTGTAGACAACGTGTCAAAAGAGCTAAAACAGATAGCGTTGCATTCAATGTCTGAACCATTCGTCTCGTAAATTTAAGAAGCGCACAAACTGTTGAAAATAAATCGGAGAAAACAAACGATGATCATCAGATATACTGTACTGCTGTTAATCCTAATATAAAAATCATATTAAGATTTAGTAAAAGCAGAAAAAGAGCACCTTATCGGAAAAATCCTTAGAATTTGTTGATGATAGGAAGATAGGTCTTCGAAAGATTTAGGCTAGGTTGAAGAGGAATTTAGGTTCATTGTTGCTTCTAGGTGTTGTAACGTTACGCTTTATGGTGATGATTGGAAGACTTATTTTGGGTAACATTTTAAAAACTAGACGATGTGAGGATTTTCTAAACATGATATTGTAATTTCCGAGTTTCCATGTTGCATTTTTGGATCTTCCGGATCTAATGTCATAAGGACTTCCTGTCAGCTTTGCTGCATGCTGATTGGCTGATGGTGTTCTGTGGAGTTGGCGCCATTACGGAGCTCCGAGCCGTCTTCTGTGCGCTCTCCCGAAAAATACTTATTTTCACCTGACTTGTGTGTGTAGTTAAGACGAAATGGCCGATAAAGACGGTAAGAATGCCACTGGTTCAGGACTAGCAGTTCATTTTTGAATGTTCATAGCTTTTAATGATTTAAAGCCCGAGAGCTGTCGGACCGGCGGCTGTTGGCGCGTCTGCCAGCATCTCCTTTCATTGTTACGGAGCAGCATGCTAGTTGTTAGCTGCTAGCTCGCTGGTAACAAGAGGACTTTTAATGAAATAATATATGTCATGTATTGGTGAATGTGGGACTGTGTGTTACTTACACGTGTTCCTACAGTTACCTTGCTCTAAATTACCGAGTTATAGTCGTTTATAACACAGGAAATAACCTAAAATCATTTACCAGAGTTCTGTTATATTGATGACAAGTAGATAGTTGACATAGTCTAAGAGCCACATGGTTGTTCTCAGATGTCTTCTAGTGTGCTAAGCTATTGTGAGGTTTGTAGTTGTTTCCTAAGAGCACTGTGGATTGGTTGTGTTTTTGCAGCTGCATTTGATGATGCCGTGGAGGAAAGGGTGATCAATGAAGAGTACAAGATCTGGAAGAAGAATACCCCTTTCCTCTATGATCTGGTCATGACTCACGCCCTGGAGTGGCCCAGCCTGACCGCTCAGTGGCTGCCAGATGTCACCAGGTGAGCATGAGAGGAGGTACACGTTCACAAATAGTACAGAAACAGCTGGTCCAAAGTTGTATGGGGCCTTAAGCAGGATTTGATTAGAGGAGCTTCCAATTTCTGAGCTCAACTAATTTCTAACATCATTTATATTTGGATGTGGATCCATTACAGAGCACACTTTGTGAAATATTGTTTGCAACGTCAGAGTAATAAAATGATTTCCCTAGGCTACTGTATCTCTGTGTTGGTCACATGCTCGTTTAGAATAGAATAGAGATTTCCTTATTGTCCCACAACGAAGAAATTCAGGTACACTATCAACAAGTTAAATGGAAATAGAAGCATGCATGCTCAAAATAAGATGGTGAGGCTGGGGAACTGAAAAATAAGAATAAGAGATGGAAATAAGGGCAAATGTGCAACGTAAGTAAACAGTATTGTAGTTATTAAAAAATTATCACTAATATTATGGACAAAATGTGTTTGTCATTGTTTTGATCAACTACCTTTTCACCAGGTGTGAAATAAAAGAGAAAACAATGAAAATGATGCAGCAAATCTAGAATCTGAAATTGAAATTATCAATTTCATTTGAGAATCAAAACTACAAATCTTCTTGCTGACTGTTGTTAATTAAATTTGAGATAACAATGTAGGGCTGGATGAGAAATCAATTTTCTTCTGCTTATGAAGGTCTACTTTTGGGAAAATTCAGAGTTTATTTCCACCAATGCACCTCTTGGGCTTCCACAGTTCAAAGTGATGTCACCAGCTTGTATTTAGTTGGAGATTGAATTCAAGTCAAATCCTTGAAGGAATAACTGAAATCAAAGTATGTTTTTTTGTCATTTTGTATTTTATTTTAAAAACAAATAAACAGGAAATACAATTTGGCATGAAAAAAAGTTATTTTTGAGCCATATTTCCCAGTCGTACTTAATTGTGTTTATTTTGTGGTCATGTTCTTCACAGACCCGAGGGAAAGGACTACAGCGTGCATAGACTGGTTTTGGGGACACACACCTCTGACGAGCAGAATCATCTTGTTATTGCCAGTGTTCAGCTTCCAAATGATGATGCCCAGTTTGATGCTTCACACTATGACAGTGAGAAAGGAGGTGAGTAATATCAAGTGAAACTATGTCATAATAAAGTCTTATTGCACCAATTCAAGGTCATTTAAATAAAGGTATTTCTTTCAGAGTTTGGAGGCTTTGGCTCTGTTAGTGGAAAAATAGAGATTGAGATCAAGATCAACCATGAGGGAGAAGTGAACAGAGCGCGCTATATGCCTCAGAATCCCTGTATTATTGCCACCAAAACCCCCACCAGTGATGTGCTGGTCTTTGATTACACAAAGCACCCCTCCAAACCTGGTGAGGGCACTTCTGAAACAATTTAGAGTTTTGTACTACACTTTCTTTCTGAAACTTTACAGATTTATGTAACATTAGTTTAATTTTCTATAATAGATCCTTCTGGAGAATGCACCCCAGACCTGCGACTCAGGGGACACCAGAAGGAAGGCTATGGCCTCTCCTGGAACCCAAACCTCAGCGGATGCCTCCTCAGTGCTTCTGATGACCATGTAAGAGACTCGACTAAAGACTGCAACTTTACTAATCTGTTTAATTACTTTTACTTCTCTTTCACAATCAAGACCCTGTAACATTGTTTACGGTTAAACAATTATTTTCACTTTCTTTGTGTTCTTTAGACTATATGCCTTTGGGATATCAGCACGGTGCCAAAGGAGGGGAAGATCGTAGATGCCAAAACAATCTTCACAGGCCACACTGCTGTAGTGGAGGACGTTTCCTGGCATCTTCTCCATGAGTCCCTCTTCGGATCTGTGGCAGACGACCAGAAACTCATGATGTGTGTATCCTTCTCAGAACAAAATCAGCGATTCTGGGTTTTTATCTGAACATCAGTTCATTTTGTCTTTGGAACAGCTGGGACACACGGTCAAACAACACCTCCAAACCGAGCCATGCAGTGGACGCTCACACTGCTGAAGTCAACTGCCTGTCTTTTAATCCCTACAGCGAGTTCATTTTGGCCACTGGCTCTGCTGACAAGGTGGGATGAGATTCTAGTGAACTCTTAAATGGTGTCTTGTTCTTTTAAATCCTGTTTCAATTGAATCAGTTTTCTTTTGTTCTGTTTTATATATTTGCAGACTGTGGCTCTTTGGGACTTGAGGAACCTGAAGCTGAAACTCCATTCATTTGAGTCTCACAAGGATGAGATCTTCCAGGTAAGATCTACACTTATTTTATTTTATTTTTATTTTTATTTTTTATTCTTAAGAAATGAAAACATCTTAAACACAACCGTGCTGGATTTCTAAACTTATTTTGTGGATGAGGAACATATGTGCAAACTAATATTGGTTAGCATTAATTAAAAAAAACAAATAGCATTAAATATGTTTTAAATAAATGCACACTGAGTAAGGGAATATGAAAAAAATATTTGTAGATTTAAAAAAAAACCAGTCTGTTTTGTCATATTAAACATTGTGTATGCAGTGTGGCTCAGTGGGTAGAGCGATCTGTGTCCAACTATGAAAATATTGTATTTTTAAGAGGCTCCCCTCGCCCCCTCTGTCTTATAATCACAGGTTCAGTGGTCTCCTCATAATGAGACGATCCTGGCCTCCAGCGGCACCGACAGGCGGCTCAACGTCTGGGATCTAAGTAAGATCGGAGAGGAGCAGTCGCCAGAGGACGCTGAGGACGGCCCTCCCGAGTTGCTGGTGAGCGGCCATTCACAGATTCTGGTTTTAGTTGAATGGTAGGTGGTGTGCTAATCACTCCTGCGCTCATTCCCAGTTCATCCATGGCGGACACACAGCTAAGATCTCAGACTTTTCCTGGAACCCCAACGAGCCGTGGGTAATCTGTTCAGTGTCAGAGGACAACATCATGCAAGTGTGGCAGATGGTAAGCCCTGACTGATGGATACGTCACATCCTGAGTTATTCAGGGTTCCTGCACAATATATTTAAACATTTTACAGCTCTGGAAAAGCATTTGAATTCCAGATTTTATTTACTTAGAACATCCTGTTCTATTTGCATCCATCCAGTTGTAAATCTATACCCATCTATTTGTCAATTGTATGTTTTCATCAGTCTGTTTGTTCATGTATGCTTGTTCCTAATATCAAGCATAGATATTGAGTAGGAAGTCTGGAAAATGTGTAGGAATGGGGCTGCACAATACATTTGAAATTTATTATTGAAATATCACTGTATTCAATAAAAATATTATGCAGGACCACCTGGGTGGTAATAAATTTGGTGAAATTTGATGGTTGTCGCACAGAAAGTTGTTTCATTGCAGAAAAAGCAGAAACTATCAAGATGTTTTTGTTGATGTGGGAATAAAACATCTAGTTTATATATCCAATAGCTTGGTAGACAGCTTGTTATCTGAGGAGGTTCCAATGAAACTACAGCAGAAACATATTAATACTCAGTAATTGGTTTTCTTATCACAAGTGATATCATTGCATGTTTTTTTTTCTTTGTTTAAAATGATAAGTAGATGTAGAGACTTTGGTAAAACTTAGAATGGAATTTAATAATTATTGTCGCAACTAGTAAGTTTTAGCTTATTACATTTATTATAAACAGTAAATGTAATAAATCTGTGTGAATTGTCTTGCACAGGCTGAAAACATCTACAACGATGAAGACCCAGAAGGTGCTGCAGATTCAGAGGTCCAGGCATAAGTCCAGTTCTGAACTCACTTCTTTTGACCTGCTTGTTAAAAATGGATCACTTTCTCAGATCTGGTTCCGTAAGCAGCAAAACATTTTCAAATACAT